GAGCGGTCATGTGTGCATAATGTGCATTTGTTTGCCGCTTGTTATTAATTGCGTGTGCCTACAAGCATGTACAAAGTACTCATACCAAGTTCTTCACTTGTGACTGCCATGGGAAAATGAACTTCGTTAAAACATTTCTGCTTTGCTGCCCCTTAGCGTCACTTTCGGTGTAAACCTTGACTAACTGCCTGATTTCTGCTACTGATATTTTATTCTCTGTGGTGCAGCATGCAGGTGACTAAGCAAGTTTGACTAGTTTCTGTCTTTTTTTTCTGTAAATATTAAATTATTGAAAAATATTAAAGTAACTTGAAAATTAACCATCCCTTTTGGGTCTGTCTGTTGCAGAGGCAAGGCACCCAAACATTGCTGTGGTTTGGCACCACAACAGTTCTAGTTGAAATGAACGAACAAATTACTTTTGTCAGTCACAGTCGTTTCAACTGAGTTGCCGAAGGTCTTGCATCATTCAACTCGTGAAATTTAGTTTCTTGTGTGTTTCAAGCAAAAGTTGTGTGAAAGTTTCACTGTATAAAGTCAGCCTAAATCTGGGGCTGCCTAATCATGTCTTTTAGTTTTGTCTCTGAGAGGCTGGTGTAAAGTGAACAAGTTATTGCTGGCTGATATTTACCCTCTCTTGGGCCTTCCTGAAAACTTGGAGAGTCTCTTTGTAAATATCCAGTTCAGCACCGTCAAAGATATCTAAGTTTTCTGAATTTTATCAACTTCTCGACTGGCAGAACATAGTATCCTATCCCACCAGAGGCCCCTCAAGCTGTCAGACTCTAGTAGGTAATTAAACATGTGTTTGGCCCTGAGGCAAGAAAGGCTTGGGCTGAGATTTCTACCATGTCTAGCCAATTGGCAACTCATACACTTGTGACTTGACTTTGGTTGTGTTCCTGGAGCTCTCCAGGTTGCAGTGAGGCCCTTGGGCTCTTAGTTTGTATCTGAATATCAAGATAAGGGTTAGAATCCCCTAGAAGATTCCTGTCTCCTGGCCTGTGAGACACACAGGCACCAAGGCGAATTTTCATTTGTATGCTAATTGTCTGAGCTTCCTATCCATGCTTAAAGGCCACAGGAGAAGTCTGAATCAGGTTGGCCCGTCCCTGTACTTCATAAACGATCTTTTCTGGAGTCTCTCCGTTTGCTAGATCTGTGCTGATCTTTACAACAAGAGATAAGGGACGATTTTTTGCACTCCGTTGTTCTGAAACATCTGAAATGGAAAGTGGAAAAATTCCAGGTAAATTAAGAAACATACTGGAAAGAAATGCATTCTAATAATTCATTGTCATGTGTGAGGTGGTGATTTCAGTCTGTTCCAAAGTTTAGAGTCTGAAAGATAGGAAAAATTTGTGGCTGATGCCAATGTTTAGTGGATAAAAATTGCAGTAGCTGAAATCAGCTAATATATAATTTATGTATCTGAAACATCTGAAGATCCCAATCCATATAAATGTTGCTCCATTGGGGTTGGAGCTACTCATAATTCTTTGTGATTTTGATGATGTGTATTTTTTTTATTTATTTTTTTTTCCTTGGTTTTTCTTCATTTTGTTTTGTGTTAACATTTTCAGACTAAAGAGTAGATATGGATACAGTTTACATGTTTGTTATTCTAGCCATGATTTTGTTTTTTGTTCGGATTCACCAGTTCAGCCTGTTTTGCTGTCAGATAGCCAAGTAGTGGATGTCTCATGTTGGTTTCCCCATCTAAGGTTTTGCCAAATTGGCAGGAGATCACAAGTTCAAGTTCCGGTGGTGCCTTAACCAAATAGGTTGCTGTTGATCAGTGATATTTTTGCAGGTACAGACAAAAACAATCTCAGTATTGGCCAACCAGTACATCAGACCTAGCAAAGTCTGCTGCAGTTGTTGAAGCCCTCTAGAGCTTTCACAGTCAGTTTGTAGGAAGAACCGTCACTGAGTGGTTGTCGGGGTTTAGTTATGCTGCACAGTATATTCATTGTCAATCACTACTGTAGTATTGACCTTTGATACTGATGTACCAGAAGGATGCAGTTTGCAAATAAACCCTCTGACAAATAGCATTTTTAAAAAATGTGCGCTGTATGCATTTTAGCTAGATTGAGTTAACCAGAATATTGAACCTTTATTCTCCCTTTAAATGCAGCTTTTTCACTGCTAGAGAGATAATTAGATTCATTTTTGGCAGTAGTTTACCTTTTCAGCCATGGTATTGAGTCCTTCATCTCTGGTATTTTTGTCATATTCTGATTAACTCATTCTCCAGAGGAAAGAGGCACAGGCTGAAGGACAGTTATAGGCAAGCTGCTGTACACATGACTTTTGGTTGGCCCTTTTACACCAGTGTATTTCAGCAGTGGGAGAGTCACAAGGTTGCGTGCATATTTATCTAGGCAATCTTCTGAATATTTTTTGGCAATTATTTCTCCCTTGCCTGGGAATTGGCTCCATAAACCAAATTACAGCTGTTCAGTATGAAAGCATAATTATTTGTGTGATCACTGCTGAAATTGCAGAGGGATGTTACACAGATCCAGATTGTACTGTATTTGTTTGCTTGTTTTGTTGCACAGTTTCACTTGAACATGCAAATCAGATTTATTGTATTTTTTTCCCAGCCATCTGTCTGTCTTGATTAGCTACTGACCTGCAGTCACCGAAACCAATAATTAGATTTTTCCAGTAGTCCAGTTTCTTTTTCAGCCATATTTTATTCCTTTACCTCATTATCACAGCACATTTATTTCCAGCTCTTGGGTGCCAGCTGACAAGAGAGCATGCATGTGTGCATATGAAGCAGGGCTATGTTCCAATGCAAATAGCCAAGCAGATCTGTATTTGTAGCTAGTGTAGTGTCTGTGACTTTATTTGGCCTAAATCTGATGTGATGCCATCATACAGGCTGTGTATGGTGTAGTACTTCAGTGCTTTGGTGCACGTTTGGTGTTATGCTCAGTCAGAGACAGAGAAGGAGACAGTTCATTGGTTAAAATATGAATGGGGTATTTTTGTGTTGTTTGAGCCAAACACCTTAACACCTTAAACTGTTTGTCAGATTTGTCAGATTTGTCAGATTTTTACTAGTGATTTTAAATTTAGGTTTAAATGTCTCTCCTCATTTAAATACAGTAAATGTCCAAAAGTATCCAGACTCCCATTCCAATTGATACATTTAGCTACTTCAGTGTGCACTCGTTGCCAATAGAATGGGACAATCTGGAGCAGCTGCACAGGAGCCTGTGGTCACCATACCCAGTGCCAAGCATCAGCTAGAGGGCTGTAAAACAGTGGAACCACATTCTCTGGAGAGATGGAGCTCCTCCAATACCTTTGGGATGAGTTGGAGTGGCATTAATGATCCAGAAATGATCATCCAGCATCAGTACTTGATCTCAGTAATGCTCTTGTGGCAGCATCTCGTGTAAAGTCTGTTACTGCAGCGAGAGAGGTGGGGCAAACCCCCTATTAATACTCTTGATTTCAGAGGAAACAAAGGATGAGCAGGTGTTTACAGACTTTTGAACATATAATGCAGACAGTAGCCTGGTTCTTGTGTGACTGTAAATAGCAGCCCGGGGGCATCATTGAGATTGACGCAAAGAGGGCGAACTTTACTGTAAGAGCTTTAGCTCAATGCAGGAACTGTTAGTGCTATTAACTCTTGGGTAAAGAAATATTGATGCTGGCTGAGCTGTCGAAACTGACCTAGCCTGCAATAAAGTTAGCCTTCAGCACCCTGTAACGACAACAGTGTGGCTGTGTGAGTAAAGGCTGACTGTACAAACCACTACATTCTCTGGAGCTTTCTGAGAAAGTTCTGGCCAGGAAATAGTTTTCCTGTAAGCCGTGTTGATTAACTCCGTTTCCTACCATCCGTTGTTGCAGTAGCGAACAATTTTGCATAGAGCTTAAGAGTTAACAATTGGCATAGAGCTGGGTCCTCCTAGTGCTTTAAAGTAGTGCCGCTGTGTGTTCTGTAATATTTTTGTAGTAAAATCTCATAAGAAAAGCTTTAACGTAGCTAATGGTGAAAAACAGGACTATTAGCAGTAGAAGAATATTACCAATTATAGGTTTATGTACGTCTTTACACGCATTTCCCTCTTGGATTTTTCCCCGTTTGAATATTTAATGTAGGTGTACTTGTGTCTGATCACACAAGTATTTACTTGGTCCCTCAAAATGTGTCTAATTGCAGTTACGTTTTATCTCTATCCAGATATAACACTTCTGTTGCATACTATTGCCGTATCTGTGTTTCCTGAGCTTAACTTAGTCTCATGGTGTGTGAGCTAATACAGCAGTAACTAATGAAAATAACTATAGTCATGCTGTTGATCATAAAGATATAACACAGAAGTAGCTTTACTTCAGTAGTTCAAAAAAACCTACGTTTCTATTCCTACTCAAGTACGTCCTTAAAAAAAAAAAAGCACTTTTACCTTGACTAAAATAGACTCTCTAAAGTAAGAATGCTCCTGCTTCAGTGCAGCTTTACAACACTGATAGTCAGTTGTAGATAATTTGTCAACATTTGTCTTCAGGCATCCATAAACAGTGGCTAATGATGTTTAAACTTACTTCACACTGTGCTGTATAATTCTGTGGCACATTAAAACAAACAGACAGTCTTTCCCTGTACATGGACAGATTACATGCCTTTACTAGCGCATACATGAGAGCGGTAGCCAGGATATGGAAAACAGCCGTCTTATCTCGGTTGTGATTTGCAAAGTCAGTCTACCAAATCCTCTATTGAAGTGTGATACTACAAGAGGGAGTGAGGATAGTGGGTTTTCTGTGCTCCACTTAGGGAAAAAATGGGAGTTCAGCACTTTGAAACTGCTTAGATGAAAATAAAACAAAAAGAATGCATCATATAATGCATCATTATTTCAGTATTGGAATATCATTTTAATGATACTTGTGATTCAAGTGACCTGATGTATGTTGTGCTTTATTTGCTTATCATCATCTGACTATTAATGGCACTTTTGTCTTTGCAGGATTTTAAGCAACAATAAAATCCAAGAACTCCTAAATGGCTCCTTCATCGGTTTGTCCACGCTCGAGAGGCTGTAAGTTGCACTCTGTTTGCTTGATTTTGTTTGTTTTATTTTTACTGTAGTTTGATTGTATTAAACATGTTGATAGTAAAACCATGATTTTGAGCCTCTTGATTGTAATTGATAGCGATGGCTCTAGTTTTATCTTGGTAATCAAGTAATCTGTTCAATATCCAAAATATTCAGATTTTCCAAAATACTTTATTGGAAAAAGGTTCAACCCTGAATCCTTTAAAAAGACCTATTAAAATATAGACATTGTGTGATGAGGCTGTAGTTCTGACTAGGGGAATTTAAAATATGCCTCGTTGCACAAATTGCCAGTTAGTCTTTACAGATTCACTGAGAAAGTGTTTTTGAAATTCATAAATAAAATAAAACGTAAATAAAACGCAAAACAAATGTTGGCTAAGAAAATAGTTGTGGGCAACAAACTTATTCAGTTGGTTTTATTGACTGCTGCTGTTGTGAGTGCAGTGCTGCCAAATGGAGAGTGAACTCTCTCTTACTATATTAGCCTGTCAGCTGCCAGCAGAAGTGCATCCGTATATTTGAGGAATCTTTAAGTGCCTGTTGAGAGGGGGATGGTAGAAGAGAAAGTTAATTTTAGTGACTGCCCTCAGGGTGCACTATTGTCTGACCTGGGTTCTGCTGTAGAAGAGGTTAAACCTAAACCATTCCCATTGATTTACATGACTCTCACTTTATGGACGCATTGAACAATTGGGTGAACATACTAAGCTTATATTGAAACCTTTTATGAAGTTCAGGTCATTGACATTTTTTCATTGCTTAAATTTACTTTACAGAAGAGTTATGAAAACTTTTCTTGTTGTGGGCTAAAATGTCTGGAGTTAGAACTGTGTTTCTCTGGAGAATAAGGGGAAAATGTTAAGGTCCTACTGTGTAGCTCTTGAGGTGATTTACTGCTTGAAAAACAGCTCTGTGCAGATAAAATAACCAGGCCATTAATAGCCCTTGTGTTTCAGTGAGGGCTAAAATAACATGACGCAATCTGAGTGGAATTTGAAGGGCATATTTTCCATGTCATTATTGCGAGTCCTGTGTAATATGAAAAAGAAGAGCCAAGGAAAGGGGCCTTTCTGAGGTGTTTCTGGATATTCTGGCAGTGGTGAGGTGATACTGGCTACAGACACATCTCAAGCCCTGCTCTCTTTGACCCTGCTGTGCCCTTGGCCTTAAAGGCATGCTGTGTAATTTCACTGGTTACAGAGATATTCAAGTCTTGCATTTTAGCTATCTTTTTTTAAGCTGATAAATGGTTGGAATTATCCCAGATGGACATCTGTGAAACAAATTATTCTGTATAAGATATATGTTGGGCTGTGTTCAGCAGAGCTGACTCCAGAATTTCACAGTTACCCATCTTATCTCTGAAAAGTATGCCCTGCGAGTACAATCAAGCCTTCTGCACTACACTGTATAGTGCTGCCAGAAAGCTTTCTTTTGCCAGAGAAGAATCAATTTGGTTCTCCTAAAGAATTTTTCAGTGGATAGTTCTTAGAAAAGACTATATATTTTTATGTATATGTATAATCTCCACATAATGTAAAGGTTCTATCAGGGTGGGGGGGGCTATGATAATATCTATCCTCAGTACATGTATATTATTGCGAGTCCTGTATATTTATCCTCAGTGATGTTATATTTTTGCCATATCACCCATGCCTAGGTTCTATACTAATTATTTTTTCCTCAGAACCTTGTGTCCAAGTCAAGATCTGTTTAGGAACCTTTATTTTGAAGAGTGTAAATGCTCCCTTTTGCTCCAGGTGCAAAGCTTCATCCTGACATCTCTGAGCTCAGGATTAGAACTGCACATTTCCTTGTTTACGCTCTCAGTCGTGTTGTAAAGTGGCTGAAATGGTAAAATTCAGGAGAGGGAGATAAATGGATGTCTTTAAAGCCCATCAAAGTGTAAACAGCTTTGATCCTCCTACACCTTGGAAGCCTGAGGAATTCAGCTTTGCCTCATTGCGGCTAGGCAGAACGGTTGAGTCTGCCGGTTGGCCGGTCTCTGTGTTTCTTTTAGTCTCTGTGTCTTGCTCTTTCTGTCCACCCCCCCTTTCCATTTCCCTCTCCTTTTAACAGCGTGTGACATTCTGCTTTTGTTATGCTAATAAGTCTCTCAGAGGCCAGAGGTGTCGACAGAGTGATTCACCCTGAGCTCTGTGCCTCTGTATGCTTTTGTGTGTGTCAGAGAGTGTGAGCGAGTGCTGGGTTACCGTCCTTTTTTATGTAAAATAAAGAATTGCTGCCGTCTCCAGCTCACGCCGTAGCATTGCTCACTGGAACTGCAGCTGCTCTCTGCTGTGTGATTGACAGGCTTGGGGGAATCAATAAAAGCCCACCTTTCACCTCAAACTCCCAGCCATGAAATTGTAGTGCAACTGTGTCCACCTCACTGTTTCTCCTAAGGCTGTGTGCTGTCTAGTGGGTATAGCCCAAAGGCATTCCATATTGTTGCTGTTATTACTAAAATATAGACCCAAGACCCCTGCCATATACAGGCGAACATGCACGTACAGTACTGTCATAAAACATGCTACATTTGTCATTTCCAGTCAAAATGGCTGTTGCACGTTATTATTTTTTTGGGAACTGAGGAGTTTAAATATAAAATAACCCATTTGCAAGGAGGGGAAGACAGAGTAAAATAAGTATCTGCAACTTCAAAGTTTAAAATATTACAAAGAGAATGGGACTCCTAACAACCATGCAAACTGTCACCATTAGATAAACAGTACTGAAGCTTTCATCTTTGAGAGAGTGGAGGAATTCAAGCTCCACTCTTGCTTCAGATCTGAAAAAAAATCTGCAAGTTTTTGTCCATCCTTCCACTGTGAGATCACAACTCAACACTGAGTCTGAAAGGATGTGTAGCTGTTAAGTAGCCCTTACTGAGAAAATAAAATAGGCAAAAAGAATACAATTTGCAGTCCAGACCTCGACATCACTGAATGTGTTTGGATTACTTGGATGGTGAGAAGCAAAACATGCAACCAATTTCTAAGACTGAACTTTGGACACAGGACAGATTTTACATACTGAAGGTAGTCATAACAAATAGCACATGCATTTTCATCTCATGACTTTTTTATTGTTGTTATCCATGGATTATGCAGGGCGTAATACACAAAGGTCTTAAGATCTCAAAGTTGAGCCTATTAAAATCACTCATCAAAATGCGTCATTTGCTTACCCACAGTTTCAGTTTGTCATTTTAGTCATCTTTCTAAAAAGAATTTTCTTTCCTGGTTGTTACATTGCCGTAGATTCCTGCCAGCCTTTTTTAGCAGTGCACCAGAAACTCCTTCCTGGAGTGGCTTGGGTCAAGAGCTTATTTTTGCTGTGCTTGTGTAAAGAAGCTTGCTGAGCAGAGCCACTGAGATCTTTGTTTGTCTTTCTATTCCACAGTGAGTCTGAGCTCCTCTCTCTGTTGGTCTGGTTGGTTTTTGGAAAGCGAGACCAAGATAAACTTGAAATAAGACTCTCTGACGTGTCACTGTAAGACGCCATTTATTTGTTTTAGCAGCTTCAACCGAAGCAGTTCCTAAGTAACCCATTTTGGTACATTCAGTGGAGGTAATCAAATTTGGCTTTAACTGCCCCAGTGTATTTTAAAGAGGAGCAGAGTGGTTTGGGACTGTAGATGAATTCTTCACTTCACTTTCAAATCTTGCCATTGTATTTGGCTAAAGCTCCATGCAGCTGAGAAAACAGTGACTTCATTTTCATATAGACATTGTAGGCTCATTTGTTGTCCTGGCTGTCAGTGTGAAGTGCATTGTGTGGTACTGATGCAATTTTTACATTTATAAAAACTCACTGACTGCTGGAAGAAAATACATAGATCATGGAATGTCAGAACGAATAACAATTGACTATAATAATATTCAGAAATATAGACATTTATTTATTTATTTATTTATTGGCAAAATTCTCAGGCTGTTATTAGACATAAAATCTTGTTTAAAGCTGCACTATGTTAGTTATGGGGATTTGGAGACCTCTCAGGTGAAAATGTGTAATTGCATGCAACGTGTGGAAGAACGTTTTATAACATCGGACCTAAACTTCGAGCCTTCTTTTTGACTTTGTGAGTGTGACGTTAATATGTAAAGATGTATGATGTGGTCCAAAAAACTCCTGCCAATGATTTAATGAATATTTCATGTATGTATGTATCCGTGTATGTATGTATCCGTGTATGTATCTATGTATGTATGTGTGGAAAATGTATGATTACATTTTAAAATATAAAACAAACTATAAAAGATTTACATTACATCTAAAAACCTTTCCAGCACTCTTATATGGAGTGACTTGGAGTCATTCTGAAATAATTAAAAAAAGTGAATCAAATCAAAGTCAGAGTTTTTGTGATACATTGAAAAAAGAATCTCTATCGAATAGTTGTGCAGTCAGAGGTTTACACTCCTTCTGAGTCCCAGACGTGTCTTAGGTTCCCCTGTAGAACTTGATATCGTGCTCAGCTGAGATTGTTTGCTAGCACTAAGAATGTCTCCTGATGGGAATGAACTCCTAAATTACGTTGTGTTTGATGATGTATGTGTTTTGAACAGTCAGTAGTCTGTTTCTGAACTCTAATTTGCTCAGTCGTTTGTATGTCCCCTGCAATTTATTTTGCATTACCGCTCTTCGTTTGAAAATGGAAGCTTGGGAAAAACCTGAAAACAAGAATGTGCATATTGCATTTCTCTTTCATCTTTCCAGTATATTCTCACCTCTTCCTTTATCATGATGAAAGTCTTTCAGCTTTTAAAAAATAAGGGTGCAGCATATCAAAACCACTCCTGTCAGGCGGGCCAGCCTTCTCTCTGCACTGCACTCTATCCTCCACTCAAACCACAGCGACAAGACTTCAAAAGGCCTTTTGGCCTTTGAGGTATTGAGACGGCAGTCTGTGTTGAGGGTTTTGAACAGGAGCTAGCTGCTAGCTGACTAGCGCAGGTGTGGGCTGCGGTATCAGTGACTGTGGCCTTTGAACTTCGGAGGATGCAATGTGTTGTCTTTTGTGTGCTGACCCTGCAGATCATGGCGCACTGCTTGTTTATCTGCATAATTGCCTCCCAGGAGACCATTAAAGTCCTAATTACTGACTATTAACTAGTTTCTAACAATACTCACATGGATTGTGTAAATTTGATTTGTGTTGTCAAAGCCTTATCTTTTTTGGTTGAAATGTTAAAAATGTGTCACATTGAAAATGTTTGCATCACTTGCTTCTGTGCTTATTCATGAAGTATCATTGCTCTCAGTTACTCAGTTAAGCCGAATTACTTTTAAATATTCAAATTTACTTCATCAAATTAGCAGTGATTCGTTGGCAGTTTGCATGGTTATGCACAACTTAATTGTCCTATTGGTCTCCTTTGTCATAAGGAGCAAATTCTGATGTATGCACTCATTTATATACATTTTCAACTATGTAGTGGTTTATTGTTTTTGTCTGTTTTAAATAAAGTCTTTTAAAAGGCGTCTTTATCTTTTTACAGTACCATATTAATGTATTTTGCAACTTTTTAAAAAGCTGTGTGTGAATTGTTCTTGTTTTAAATCCATTTTGATTGTTTGGCCTTAAAATAATCAGTTGATTACTCTCTTATTAATATAATAAATATTTTCAACCAGAAATAAATGTGTCCTTTGTTTTAGACACTGTCCGTTAGTCCATTTTTCAGTTTTTTTAATTTTCTCTTACAGGAAAATTCTTCTCTTGCATATTGAACTCATTCCACTAATTTATTGTGCTTGCCTGAACTTTTGTGCAGATAATATTGGAGTATTGCTTATGCTTCCTGCTTTCTGTTTTCTTTGTAGGGACATAAAGAATAACATCATCACTCGCATTGAGCCGGGAGCCTTCCTTGGACTTGCTGCTCTTAAAAGACTGTAAGTAATTTTACAGCTGAATCCTCGTCTCTTGCATATTGACATAAAAACCACTCTTGAAGATTAGTTCATGAGAGTCTTTAAAGTGATTTGCTGCAACTAATCGCAAAAGGCCTGTACATAGAAGGCCATGGAAATTGGTAATAACTCTGAGTGATGCTATCAGCTTTCACATAAGCCACTGAGGAAGTGTGTGGGTGTGTGTCTATGTCTGTGTGTGTGGGTGTGTATGTGTGTGCGTGTCTGTGTGTGTATTTTTTGTACTGGGTGTGTATGCATGTACTGCACAAAAACCTTCGGAAACGTCTATCAGGTGTAAATAGCTTGCATCATTCAATCTAGTGTTTTTCTCTCTTAAGATAATGTAACACTAACTCATATGCATATTTGTACTTCTAAGGAGCATCTGTTTTCTAAGTGTAAATGTGCAAATAATCACTGTGGCAAACCTCATATCTCCCAAATGGCAACATTACAGAATAAAAAAAAGCTTAACTTTTACTGTCAGTAAATGTGACAGGATTTTACTTGGTGCTTTTTTTTTCTTGCTGTTTTTTGTTTATTTTCTTTTTTTTTTCTCAGTACTGATAGGGCAGCTGGTCTTTACAAACGTTGTTTTAAAAAATTAATTCATAAAAAAAATCCACAAGGTACAAGATTTTGATCTGGTAGAGATGAGAAGAATACCTCTATGGGTGTATACAGTACTATGTATCTTTTCATTTTATTTAATTTTCAGTCAAAACAGCCAAGCTATTCATTTTTAGATGCAAAGCACCTCATAGACCTGGGCTTGTAACTCACTCACTGACTCACTCACTTGCTCACGTTTAAGAAGATTGCCCACAAAGAGGAGTTACTGGCACTCTAGTAGTAGCAGGATGTCCTGTGTTTGCAGCATGTATGTTTACATTTACAAATCACTCTTTACTTCATTGTTGTCAGTAAATTAATCTAATCAAACTCTACGTAAGTTCACAAATTCAGCACATATTCAATGCTGCACAAAAGCGTTTACCTAAATCTAGGTGTGTTCATTGGTATGTTGAGCTAGTTAGGTTGTGCAGCAACCTTCTGTTTACTGGAATGTCAACTGTGGACATGAGAGGTGCGTGCTTTCTGTGACTTTATAGCAGTGGTGGTCTGACCTGGGAGAATTCCTGGTGGACTGCTGAAAGGGTGAGAAAGATATAAATGCATGGTCTTTATCCTGCTGTTGTCCTATATAAAATGAACGGAGACAAACAGCACGTTCAAGGCGAATACTGGACAGCGCATATCTAGACACCGTGTGTGGCCATTGGCCAATCACAAAAATACCACCATTCCCAGAACCAAGCATACTGATAATGACCAGGGAAGTTAAACGGTGAAGGCTAGCTAGAAAAGAAGGAGAGGACCTCCAAAGTCTCTGTATGACTTTTAGATGTTGACGGCTCATCTAATCATATAAAAGCCACAGCCACAAAGACTGGACCGAATTTTTTTTTTTCAGTAGTTCAGTAGAAAATGTTTAAAAACATACTTTTTACTACAGGATAAATATATTTCCATGTTGAACTTCAGTATATGTTCATTTTAACTTACAGTGCTTCCTTAGTTTCATTTATTCTTTTTAAATGCTATATATTTCACCTGACATTACAAGAATGAATTTAGCTTAGTAAAACCTTTACTTTCTCACATTATTCTACCCCAACCTACACAAGTCAGCTGGGTTATGGTAATGTCCACTGGTAAAAAGCACACAAACCAAACAAGCAAAAAAAAAAAGCTATGACATGCTGGACACTTTTTGTCCTTCAGTTTCTGCAAGGATATTTTTCCACAACACCGAAGTTCAGTCTTAGAAGTTGGTGTAGGATTTTCTGTTTCTCACCATCCAAGTAATCCAAACACGTTCAGTGATCTTGAGGCCTGGACTCTGGGGTGGCCAGCCCATCCTGAGAAGACCAGCAGTTTCTTTGTTTGATTTGCAGATGTTTATCTTTTTGTTTATATATTTTTCTCAGTAAGGGCTTCTTCACAGCTACACATCCTTTCAGACTCATAGTGTTGAGTTGTGTTCTCACAGTGGAAGGATGGACAGAAACGGCTGTGGATTTTTTCAGATCTGAAGTAAGAGTGGAGCATGATTTTCTCCTCTCTCTTAAAGAAGTTTTAAGTACGGTTTATCTGAAGGTGACCGTTTTGGTCTTTCGAGTCTTGTTAGGTGTGCTATATTCTTGGATTTTAATATATAACCGTTTTGGAAACGTGCCTTTTTTTTCACTTATTTTCCTTTGTCTTACTCCTTCCCTATGGAAGTGGGTTATCCTGTATCTATCTCTTCAGAACTATGTCCTGAAAAATAAACAACTTAAACTACTTAATGGCCATTTTGGCTGGAAGTTAAATGAGTGAAAGGGTGGTCTCTGCCTTTTGCACAGTGCTGTATATTTCTTAAAACATTTGAGAGGCAGAGAGCTCTGCTGTGTGTGTGGTAACAAGTGGTTTAGATGGAGCTGAGTGTATGTGTGGTGAGATTGTGAATGTACACATACTGTATATTGTACACATATGGTGAGAGCGTGTGTGCTTAGAGACTGTTAGAATGTTGTATATCTTGCCAATATAAACTACTGCTTGGCTGGCTGAATGGAGAAATATGCAGTTCCTCTGAGCGAAAATGACTGTCAACCTAGCGTTCAAGAGAGAGCCAGTGCAAGAATTTTCATCTTTTTATGCACCACGTTTAAAGAGTGTGAAAAGAGTTTGATTTTTAAATGACGGAAAGGAATTGTAAAAGGTAGATTGTAAACCAGTTCATGGAATATTTCTCAAAGCAGTTATAATCTGATAAATTGTGGTAATTTGGGCTATAAAACAGGGTTCAACCAGTGCCTAACTGTGAATAGCAACAAAATGACTTGACTTTGAAGCTTGCGGTGTCTTGTTTGATTTTTGGAAAAGAGTGACAAAGTTAATTCACACTGAGAACGTGAAAAGCCCACTAGCTGGTTAAATTCGGTCAGTAGCAGGCTTGGTCAACAAAAGAGTCGCTGTGTTTCTAACTCTGCTCAGTCCAATCTTTAATTTCTCCCATCTGCTGCTGCTTTGCCTCAAAGTGCCTAATTACATTTCCCCCGTTACGTTTTGAGACAAGCCTCTGGCTTCAGCTCCTGCTCCCTCTCCTTCACAGAGAGACTGAGGGAGAGACAAGGAGTTTAAAAGAGCAATATAGTGGAAAGAGATGAAAAGTTTAGAGAGATGAGGGAAGGGTGAGACAGCAATGGAGAAAGGAGATGAAAAGATAATGAAAGGAGTGAAGTAGAGGGGGAAAGAGTGCTTGAGAGTCAGTGGACTTGATAAGGGCCAGTGGAGGTGGTATGAGGAACGTGATTTAGACTAGTGGTTCCCAAACTGGTCCACAGGGACCCCCAGACTGGCACACAGATTTCCTCTTTTCGTTGTGGTCACTAACTCCTGGAGATCTATCTTCTTGCGGACTCCACCCCTAATCAACCCCACTTTATCCATCTTATTATTACATTCAGAAGTCCTTGATTTATCTTATTGAGGTGTGTGATGTTTGGGTTGGAGATGAAACCTGCAGGAAGGCAGATCTTCAGGGAGAGAGTTGGTGACCACTGCTATCCTAATGTGTTGGGTTGGAGCAAAAGTGTGGACTGCTTTGAGAACCACTGACATAGACTATTGAAAAAGGACAGTTGACAAAGTTCAGGGGTTACACAGCTAAATATAGGACAGTTTCTTGTCATAGTTGACTGTACTTAATAAAATAGGAAGAAAAAGAAAATAAGAAAAGAAGTTCCTTTTTGTGTTTTTCAGTCTTCGTTGCCACTGCTGCTTTACTTGATCCAATCCAACAAATCCAACCCTTATTCATGTATAACTAGGCGCTGGACCTTTGCTTTTAAAAAGGTTCTTCGCACTCACACATCTTAACAAAAGTGGTTCCTTAAAGAAGCATCCATCAGAAGGACTTCTAATGAACTCAGGGTGGTGGTTCTCTGGCAAAACCTCTTTCTGGCACCTTTATTTTTAAGACTGTAGGTTTGTTAGAAAAACTGATCCCAAGTCAGCAGTGAAGTGCTTTTCCAGCTTACAGTCTGCCCTCCAGCTCCACTCGGAGTGGAATTTCCTTGCTATAAATTCCCCAGCTGTTCCCTAAAACCCACAACAGTAAAATGGAACCACTGTTCTTTCAGTCAACAGGCAGATTTTAGCTGAACAAGAACTTAACATGTGGTTCTGTCTACTCCCTTGACTTAGAGTCACTGTCTGCAGGGCATAGTAAATCCATTCTGACGCTAACATGTCATGTTAGATAGATAGGAGCTAAACGCTTACCCCCCCGCCCCTGCGCCATCCAATCGAACATGTTGTAGTTGTGACCATGAAATTTGGTGCTTTAACTGGTTCTATTTACCTTCTTTGCTTAGATCAGGATCAGGTTTTGTAACATTTTGAATAATTTGGAAGCAGAACTGAGATGGGCTGAGTTCTCAAGGTGAAAGTGGCCTTTTGATGCCCTGAACTGGTATAAACTTTCCTTTAAATTTCTTTAACTTGTATTTAATTATTATTATTATTATTATTATTATTATTATTTAGATTTATTTTTTAAGTTTGTTTGGGTTTGTGTTCCAAGAACAGTCCTAATTCATTTTTGCATGGCTATTTTCCAACTTCTCTTTATCCCTTAGGACAGGTTGTTTTTGTTACAGTGCATTTAAAACTGGTATATGTAAATGAGCTCTGTTCTGATTGGCTTCCTTATAATTCAGAAGGCAGTCCAGGCTGAAACACTCCTTATAACTTATCTTGAATAAAAAAAAAACTCTACATGTACCCTGCAGGATGTATATACATATCCTGTAAATTATTGCATGATTATAAGCAAAAACTAGAACTCATAAATATTAAAATGTAAAATGAAGCAGTCCCCCAGAAAAAGGGGTGGTACTGCAGAAGCTAAAGGGAAATACATAAATAAATTTTTCTCGACATCACGAAAACAGTGAATTCCAAATAGGCTGCTTTTGCAGCTTAGTTTCCGTATATGGACTGTATAGACTGGGGAATGGAGGGTACCATTTGAAACTTTAACAGCGTTTGCACACTACATCAAACTCTTACTTCAATAAATTGAGAGAAGTTCAGTTTTTCTTGATCTGGGCTCTTTACTAATTGTAATAAATTTAATAAATGTAATATAATCATCACTGTATCTTTGGTGGCATGTGCTTTTGTCATGTGTGGCCCAGAAGATCAGATGTAACTGTAGTTGTGTGCATTATTTTGAATATTTGAATCTGTGAAGATGAGTTCAAGTGGAAATCCCAAATATTTTTTTTGTTTCTGCAGTATTCAGTCAGTGAGATGTAAACAAGGTCATTGAGTGTTTTAATGTCAAATACTTTTTCTGGGGAAATGTACCAACTTGAAGTGTCGTGGAGTAATGCCTCCATTGCAAATATAGCATTTTTTTTTTACTATCCAAAACAACCAGAGAACCTACAGATGTCTTCTGAGTTTCCATGTGTAATGTTGATGATGGTAAAAAAGTGGTAAATTTGATCAAATAAGTTTTATCTAGAGACTCTTCAGACATATGGGTCTACCACCACCACTGTGAAAAATTCTGATTCACTAAGTTTCTCCAAAATGGAGCCTTTCCACATCAAAAATCATTTGATTTCCATTTAACTTTATGCTGCATGTGCTGTGGCACCTTAGTCGTTGGTTTTAAAGAACCAGTATAGAAACCATTACGGAAGGTAATTTAAATAGCTTAAGGTTGTCATAAAATGTTCAGTACAAAACTGGGGATACGTCTTGACAGTTATAATTGCACAATCGTCCAGTCTTGCTTTTGATGTGAAAAAGCCTAAGGCTAAATGGGACTTTTCCAATTTATGCTAAAAGTTTCCCTTTACTCTGATCTGAGACTAATTTTGCTCATTTCTTTGTAGTGACCAAAGTCATGATTTGTAGTGAGACAAGCAGAAGTGGCGTCTGCTTTGTCCAAAAGGGCAGCCTCTAGCAAGAGTATGTAGTAACAGCAAGAGTTGGAGAACTGACAGGGTGAGATTAGTGTTGGGTTTTTTGATAAACCAAAGCTCTAAAAGGCCAAAAAAGTAATGTGAACCACTGCAGGGCTGTCATTTATCAGCATTCAACACTGGCTTTGATCTATAGGACTTTGTCTTCAGTACTTTTTGTGGTGTTTTTCCACTGCACAATGTAGCGAAACCTTTGGCACCAGTAAAACGTAAACTGTATGTTTTCCTTTGGTTGTCAGTCCAGCACCGAAGGTTCTGGTTTTATGGTTTTGGGTACCTGCTCAAAATGGGTACCAACAGGACCTAATGGTACTTTAGAGTGTTCTCTTCTGTCTTTGCTAACACTTGCAGATGAAGCCAGTGATGTTTTACTGAGTTCTTTACTCTTTCAGGTGAAGCACTGTTGCATCAGCAGTAAGAGCAGAATGTAAACTAGGATGGTATGTTAATGTGTCAGTGCTATTTTTAGAATAATTACTGTGCAAAAAGTGTTAAGAGGGCATAAACTACTTAGGAAGCTGTTAGCATTTAGTGCTTTTGCTCATATTTTCACACTAGTCAGAGAAAAGTATAAGCTTTGCTTGATGCTACACATGATTCTGTGTGCTTAGTGACATTTTAGGAATATGTTAATATTAAAAGACTAGAACATTTCCATCACTGGTCTCTGTTATTATGGAGGTTTCAGCTGTATCTCCAGCAGGTAGAGAATGAACTAGAACTGAAGCTCTGTTGGTTCCCATTTGGGGTCTTGTTTTTGAGTGTGCAGTGGTATTGCCTCTTCCCAGTGCAAGCTTTATTATTTTGTCTTATTGCATTTTTGTTATTGTTGTATGGGAATGTTTGTGTGAAAAGTGTATATAAATTCATATATTTTCTTTTCTCTTCAGAGATTTGTCCAATAACCGTATCGGCTGCCTCAATGTGGATATATTCAAAGGCCTCACAAATCTTGTCAAACTGTAAGTAAATCGGCTTATTTTGACATTATCAGCATTGCGCAGTATCAGTCTCTGTTGGTGGTTTGAACATTTATGAACTCTGTTCTAAGAACGTGGATTTTCAGACAGTAGGCAAAATGTTTTTTGTAGTGGTTATCTCTGTGTTCAGGGCTTAATGACAAGGACATCAGTGTCATTGTAGGCATTTGGCTTGGAATTATGGACTTAATTGTCCTTCACTGAGAGCTAAAATGTAACAGGTGTTGTAAGATTAGCGTATTAGCCTTTGCATCCCATGGGTGTAGCAACAGCAGCGCACATATTAGTGTGTCCTCTCTACCTCATGAAGGTGAGGGTAAAGCTATTTCTGCCAAGTTCATTAAGACTCCCAGATGACAGCAGAATGAAGCTATTGTGTTCATTCCTGTGAAAATAAATCTAACAAATGCGGGTTACATAATGAAGTGTATGCCAACAAGATTGCATCAGCTATAAGAAATCTGAAACAAGTCAGGTGTTAACTTTAAAACATAGTTTAGTTACTATAGCGACCCTGGCAATGTGGCAGGGTCTGACACTGCAGCTAGCAGGGTTTGTTCTGTTTTTGTTGGACTCAGAAGGTGTGTATGCCTACCAAGTAATATTATATAAACACTTTTCAAATAAGATCTGCTTTACATGTTAAATTTATCTTGACGCTCATCTACACTGCAGCAATCAAGCTGTGTTTTTGTTTCAGGAACCTTTCGGGGAACATGTTTTCATCGCTGTCTCAAGGGACCTTTGACAGCCTTGTGTCCCTCAAAACACTGTAAGTAAACTGAAAAGTCAAAAATCATTTCAGTTGTAATATAGAAACATGGACTCATTTCAGTCCCAGTGTTCTCACTTAATGCATATTAATAAGCAGCACTGGTCTTGGTCCGCCCCTGCAGGGTTTAGCTGCAAACATAACAAACTGCACCTCGTTTGTTTTATTATGATCTTTATGATATGGGCCTCTGTGAACTTCAGCCCAAACAGATATTTCCAAATGCTGAACTATTGTAGCTGTATCAGTAGATCTGGGCACTTTGACTTCTGCCATGTATCAAGTCACTGTAATAGCCAGTGACGTAAATAGTTTTTTGAGAAACTAAACATATTTTTGTTTAAGAAGTAATATTGTTGGATTACCACATGTACTGAAGAGAATAATGAAAGTAGGGTACTGTGCAGAGGTCAGAGACAACCCTTTTGTTTATTTAATTTACAGTGACAAAAATGTTCATTTTTCAGTGTTAGGACAATAAGCAGAAAGCATATATTTAACAGCAAATTACCCAAAAGCTTCTAATACTGAGTGTAATATCAAATCCAATGATTGTAATTTGTCCACTCTTCACTTTTGTGAACGCTGCTGCCACTTTTACTCTTCCATCCTTCAAATCTCCATCTTTCCAAGCTTTCCAGAAAGGAGTTACAGTCCATGTGCATCTGAAATGGCTAAAAGAGCTAGTTCTAAGGAGATTAGCTATAGGTATTATTCACTTGCATAAGGAAGTGTAAAGTCAAAGGAAACATAAGCTAAAAGAAACACGTTCAAGAAATTATTAAGAGATAGGGAAAAAAATGAGACTCCTAATGACCACAAGACCTGGTAGACCACCAAAACTTTCTAGAACACTGAAACTGGACATCTGAGATGTGGAGTAAGGTGTTCACAGATGATAGGGGTTACTTGGATCCTAAGAAGCAGAAAATGCAACCAACTTGTAAGACTCAACTTTGTAGGTGTTTACAAGAAGCATGAAAAACTGAAAACCATAAAGACCACTTGGCTTGACAACTTTCTCAAAAAGAATGGAAGCTGTGATAAAAGTTGACTCACTAAATACTGAAAAATAATATGTTTAGTCGTTGATGCTATTGTATAATTTTCTGTTAAGTATGTTTTTTGTGTGTTTGTTTTTCTTGATGCTGAAAAATGAATCACTTTTACTTCGTAGTCCTTATGACTGGATCTTAAGTAAACGGAAGGGTGATCTTTTACTTTAGCCTGGCACTGTAGTTATTGTGGTATTTTATTTGCTACACTCCACTGGTTTATGCACTGTGTCTGTTCTTAGGGAGTTCCAGAGCCCCTATCTGCTGTGCGACTGTAACCTGCAGTGGCTGGTGCGCTGGATCAAAGAGAAAGGTGTAGGAGTAAAGGACACACGCTGCTCTTACCCTCGCTCACTACAGGGCCAGCTCATAACCTCCCTCATGCCTGAAACGCTAACCTGTGGTAAGAATACACGACCACGAAACTACAGACTGTGTTTGTTCAAAAAGAAAAATTATGATACAAACAAAAGTCAGGGTTGAAGTTTGCCGCTGCATATTTTTGTCCATTTTTAAAGCTGTCATATGCCAGAAACCATAGTCTCCCAACACTAAACTAAATGGCTGTTTAACTACATTTGTGGTTTTATTGCCTGTAATTTTAAAATTTTTAAAGTTACTTAATACAGGCTATTTTCATCTTAATTTGTTTTGCACAAAGTAAATGTAAGCTTGTGTTTTAAAGGGTCCATATTGTAGAAAAATGAATTTCCCTCTCTTCTTATAAATAATGGTGTTTGAAGTAATATATAAACATTGTTAAAGTTTCAAAACGTACCGTTCACTACCCAGTCCATACGGTCCATATATGGAATCTAAGCTGCAAAAACAGCCCATTTTGAATTCAGTGTCACAAGTACTCATTTACATATGTCCACCTATTCAGGCTACAGATGTTTAGCTATGCCCACTCTGAAGTTTTAAAGAGAGTTTCAGCTCTGATTTTCAGTTCTGGTTTTTGAATGAGGCAAAATACAAGGCAGCCCATCAGGACAGAGCTCATTTACATATCAGTCCTAAAGGTACAGTAATGAAAACAGCCAGTTTAAATTTAATGGATAAAGAGAGATTGGACAACAGTCATGTAAAAACTAATTATGACCGCAGTTGTTATAAGTGGGCCTCAGTGGAAAAATAAACTGCAGTAAAAATTTGGAATATGAGTTTGTAAGTATTTTCTATCGTTCAATAAATTTTCCTCTAGGGAAGTGAATGGAACTGAATACATTATTTGAGTATCTAAGGCAGTATTCATTAGAGTATTTGAATGCACACAGTGCTGTGCTTAACCTGTAGCAGGCCCTGGCGCTTACTCTCAGTGCAGACTGTTCAAAAAGATGAGAGATAAGCACAAGTTTGGCACTGAATACCCTTCTTTTTTTTCTCATCCTCATATTTTGCAGAGGTTGTGCAATATTTAAGACTGATAAGAGCAAGGCACACTGGCACAATGAAGACTTTGTCTGGCTTCTTTCCCAGACACAGATTATGCCCACTTCTAGACTTTTTCAATGAAGAATCACTATTCATAGTGCTTGATTTAGTTCAAAGCTAGCTTTAATATGCCTGAGGAAACCGCTCCATGAGGACTTTGATGTTGAATGTTAAATTATTGGTGGCGGATGGTTAAAATGTGGATATGGTTAAAATACTGATTAGGTTTACTCTAAATCATAGTACTCTCACTAGTCTCAAACATTAAAACCAGAGTGGCTTTTTTTTTTGTTCTTCATATTGTTAATGAGTGTAACAGCTTTGAGGCTTGGGAACGCCTCACCTGGATGAAAAATCTTGTGTTTATCTGTACAAAACTAAAAGGGAAAGATGTTTAACTGTTTGGTGACATCAGTCAGCACTGTTGACAGAACCTCTTCTTGCAATGCTTACTATGCCTGCCTAACCTGGACAAAATGCAAAATAGTGTTAGGACTGTATTGCAGTGTATTGTGATACGCCTTGCAATATATTGAAAATGCAGTTGTGTATAAATAATTACATGATTGAAGAGCGATCCAGCAATATTTACCTTTGTCTAACTACACGAATACCCTGATTCATCAAAACTACGGCTGCACCTATGCAGAAATTCTGGGCCAATGCCAGTATTTAGATGCACACATCTGATGATAGTGATGCCGATGTTGACACAAACATTTGTAAAATAGCTTTACGAGATTACTCTTGAGTGATTTACAATTAATTTATTGATACCTATTAAATAGATCGTGAGCATCTTAAAAATCATTCACAAGCATTTATAACATCAATAAAAAGGGCATCTGTTGCTTTCCAAATACTGAGCCTCTATTTATATTGTTAAACCTCAAATCTTGCTGGTTACATATCTTATTCATATGCATTAGATAGAACGGTTTACTGTTGCCCTTTTATTTGTGTTGCAACTGTTCATTACTAATTTTATGGTGTTTATGACGTAATTAATAACTAAATGAATTTTAAACCAATCGTAAAAAGGTAGTCTTATTGTAGAGCAACACAAAAATTGCCACTACGTCTACCTGTATTAAAAGTACAGAGAAATAACACTTATTGGTATAGGATTAGAAAAATGAATGAAATGCAGATATGTTAGCACCGTAACCCAGTGTTGCCCTAAACATTCTGCAATACAATTCCGATATTCCTTTATCATCTTGCATGTTTAATCAAAACATCCACAGAAACACTGAAACTGTGACTGGTCAAGATGCTCACAGCACACAGGGGAAGAACCTTGTGATTGAGTGGAGGGCTCCATTGCATATTGTAGCCTTCTGCAATATCAGTCAGCCAATATTGCTGTAATGTTTAACAAGTGATATTTTATGCAGTACTTGCCTTCACCCTCTCGCTGTAGATGCACCCCTGGAGCTTCCTTCTTTCCAGATGACTCCATCCCAGCATCAGATCGTCTTCCAGGGGGACAGCCTGCCCTTCCAGTGCATGGCTTCCTTCGTGGATGAAGACATGCAAGTGCTCTGGTACCAGGATGGCAAGATGGTGGAGCCTGATGCCACTCAGGGCATCTACATAGAGAAGAGCATGGTGCAGAACTGTTCCCTCATCGCCAGGTACTGCAGCCAGACTCAGGAAAGCTTCTAGTTGAAGACTGTGATGCTTGTTGATATGCTGAAGATCTATATGGTATTTAGGTTGTAAATTGCTATATACTTATGAGGAAGGGCTGGATAAACTAGCGTTTCAACAATTAGTTAATCAGAAAAAGTGTTGATATTTTAATTAATTAATTAATTAATCAATTAATTTATTTTTATGTGCCCTTTACTTAAAGAGTGCTCTGTAATGTTCTGTAATGTGTGATACACGCAGCCATTCTGATAGAATGCAGTGTACTACTGGAAATATTGGGGGAATTCAGCTTCTAGTGTTTTATTGCACCAGTAAAGACTGATGCATGTAAAGAACTTTTTAATGGTGTTGACAGCAAAGAGAGAGGAACCAAAGCAGGCAAAATTGCTAGAATAGTCAGTTAATTGAATAGCATTCCACAAGTTAATTGATTATAGAAATCACCCCAGATGTTCTTCAGCATGCATGTAGAAGCCATACATGATGGTTTGAAGCTCCTCATGCAAGTCTATAGAAATATCAAAACAAAGCATTAACTCCGTAAAATAATATGTCTGATGGACTTATTTGCAGCTTTTGAGGGCAGAGGAGTGACCTCAATCTCTCGTCTCTTGTGAGCAGTCTGTCATTTGAGAACAATCTCTTCTTTTTTCCCTCCTCGCAGTGCCCTGACCATCTCCAACATCCAGCCAGGATTCACGGGGGACTGGGAGTGCCGTGTGCGAACCAGCCGAGGCAACAACACTCGCACGGTCCACATTGTGGTTCTTGAGAGTTCTGCCAAATACTGTGCCCCTGAAAGAGTGTCCAACAACAAGGGAGAGTACAGGTGAATTTGGCTGATCTTCTGAGGCTGAAATGCAGCTGCATATATGTAACTCTGAGCAGTAAGCCATGTAAGGTCAAGGCTTTAAACGTGTTTCATGAGGGAAGCGTGCTTACTTGTCCAGCTTGGGAATTTAGCTCTTCGCTGTCCTCTAGTGGCTGAAAAATGCATGGTTTACAGTTGGTGGAGCAGAGAGAAAACCCAGCATTAGAAGCAGAAACACAAAACATTACACACCTAGAATCTGTTGTTGCAATAAGAGAAACTAGCCTGAGGAATGTAGCAGTTCTCCAAGAGGACGTTAAAGAGATGATTTGACCAGAAAACATCAGATTTACACAGTTTTCCCTTTTACATCTAATATAGTCAGTCAGACAAGTCACGTTGTCTATAAAACTTAAATATTTACCCCATTTGCATCTGTACACCTCTAAATGCCCAAACAATTTAAATGATAGCTTTTCACATGCTGCCGTCTTGCTCATCTCTGCAACCCATTCTTGAAATGAAGGAGCGCCTGCTTTTTTCCATTCCCTAAGAATAATTTGCCTGTCTATCATCAGACTGGTTTGTATCCACTTCTGTAAGTACTTGTCCCTGGTACTTAGAACTAAGGAATCCCCTAAGACAAAGAGTCTAGAACAAAATGCAATTTGACTACCTAGTACTTCATGAATAAATTGCAATCCAGAATTCTGGAATCTAGCGCAATGCCACATAGCACGACTTAAGTCTCCTTCCTCAGACTCACAATGCCAGGGCTCAGCTGTATCCCTGTAACCAAACCTGTACAATCTGGTAGGGGACCGGTAGACCTGGTGTAGAATTTTAAATTGTGCAAGATGTACTCTAAGATCTCTTTGAAGTTTGTTTCTTTAGTTTTCCAACAAGAAAACCGTGGCTAATGTAGCTAACCAAAAATGGAGAATCATGCCCACTGGTTTACAGTGTGCACACTTACCTCGAACTATGTTGTTAAGTAACATCATATAAAATGCTTATGTAGTTTCTAATGTTGTATGACTAAACAAAAGTATGTTGCATAGCTAACAACTTGAATAGAAGCCACCTGAAGCCTGTGTTTTATCTAGCCCTGCCCAGTTACTAACATACATGGCATATTTAAAAGCCGTTGGCACAAAAGAAGCAAATTTTAGGCCAAAATTACTCCATATTGAGTTCCTGTACCAGAGCCTATCAGTTCAATCACAACTTTGTTCTGTGTATGTAGATGGCCTCGCACGCTGGCTGGCATCACCGCGTACCTGCCCTGTGCCCGGCAGGTAACGGGTACAAGCATCTATACGGGCAGCTCGGCTGAAGACCGGCGTGCAAGGAGACGCTGTGACCGCAGCGGGCAGTGGGCTGAGGAAGACTACTCCCGCTGCGAGTACATGAAGGACACCACCCGCGTGCTCCACATCATCAACCAGGTGCAAGACTGCTTCTCCCTCCCAGCCTGCTGCTCAGTGTGTTCTTAGCCTGGTTGCTGTTCTAGAGTGCATGCAGGAGAAAAGCTCTGACCTTTACCCCCCATCACCAATTTTGTGTAATCTCTTGACTACCTTTGTGTTTCATATCTCATTACTCATTATTAATAGAGCCTCATCAATATGATTTTAGATGTGTTCTGCTATCCTCTGTGCGATATACGATCATTTCTCATTTTCTTGGTTTCCATTGTGTCTGTCTTGCCCTATTGTGAGCAGATGGCTCTGAACCTTACCAACGCTGTACATACAGCACAGCAGCTCCTGGCTTACACGGTCGAAGCCCCTAACTTCTCTGACAAGGTGGACGTGATCTTCGTGGCCGAAATGATCGAGAAGATTGGCACATTTGCTGAGAAATATAAAGAGGTGGGTCAGGAAGGAGCAAATGCAGCCATTACATTGTTATAATAGGCTCAAAACTATTGGTTAGATTTAATGGTTACTTGGCTTCATTTATGTTCAATCACAGTTTTTTCTTCCCAGATCAAATAAAGCTGAACTCTATGTATTCCCAGACCCAGATTAAGCCGAAGCTGAGACAGAATATGATTCTTAATGGACAACCAGTAGCATCCCAGTTTAGTCCTTAACTAGGCTTAATCTGTGTTCGCATGGATTTTTGTCAAATTCCTCAAAGACTCTGTTTGTGCTGCTTCTGAAGTTGCTATCCTTAACTAAGTCTGAAATTTAATCAGAAAAAGACAAACTGAACTCAGTTTAAAAGGGGCTGCTTTTATCAATAACCCTGTTCCCCACCTCACTCTCCTGCGTTCTTCCTTACTCAAGAACAAAGCAGGCTTTCTGTGGCTTAATCCATGGAGAGAGCGGCATGGAGAGAGGAGATAAGATCAGAATGGAGGGATTTGGCCGCAGAGCCGTAGAGGAACGTGGAACTTCGTCTCTAGTATCGTATTTCGCAGTGCTCCGTGTTGAGGGGAAATGTTAGCATGTAACACCTGTACATAGATACACTTCATAGCTCTCAGTTTAAAGAGTTGTAGAGCTCACATAGCTCTCTGTTAAAACAAATGATTCTGTGTAATTTCTTTACTTTTTCTGCGCTTATTTACTTCTCAAGTTCCGATCAAGTTAGTCATACATATCTTCGCCTGCATGCCATTGATTACAATATGTAGTGTGTGCTCTCGGCATGATGGACTAATAAGTTAATGTCTCGTGTCTCATGACCTTGTGCTATACATCCCTCAGGTTACAATTCGTCCTTTCAGTTAATCCCTTATTTTCTAGTTATGTAATGTGTTTGTGTGAGGATGTAGGATAAGACTGCTCTCACTTATGCATATGATCTAACACTGTGCATGAACCCTGCTACATAACATTAATATAACCGTCCCCTAAACATGTCATGGAAAATGCAGATATAACATGCTGTCAGGGGTCGTCATAACAGTATCATGTTACGTTTATTGGTGCTGATTTATTGTAATGCGGGCAGATTTTTTCCTGTGTGCTCTAGTTAGCACTCATGATACCCATTTACACCTGGTCATTCATGTGTCTTGAGTATCAGGATTAGGCCTATTGCCAGGTAGGTGTGATCCACATAAAAATGCAGATGTAAATGCACCCAAGTCATTTAAAACAGATTTAAATCTGTTTGATCAAACCACTTCAGGAGGGGGTGCTTTTTAGCCAGATGTTAGATGAGTGTAGATGCATCCATCTCCAAGGCAGTCCCCTGGAATATTGTGTGTGCGTGCGTGCAAGAGGAAGAGAGATGTTAAGATAAAACTTTTTATCTTTTTTAAGTCTGGCTCAACCCTCTGTTCACATACAGAGCGACCTGCAGTGAAATAGCAAGAGGCTACCACATAGTGGACAGAAAAAGTAGGCTCCTGACCTCAAGTTCACTTTGGTAAATGACCATTCCATGTAACCTTTTTTCCTGAGCCAAGATTAACTCAAACCTAGAGGTTTAACACTTTTTAGATAAACCCTTTTCCACTCTTATGCAGAGGGTTTCTTTTTGCCTGTTTTGCAGAAAAAAGCGTGTACAGAATGTGGTCATTTCCTTGCATCGTAAATCTATCACCAGAAAATCTCTATTCACGCAGTCTGACATGGAATTTGGCCAGGATTTTATTTGCACTGTGGTAAGCAGGGTATGCGGCAAACATATAAGACCACTCCAGTTGCACAGTGTAAAGCAGGTTAACTGAAGATGCATTTGATTACCAAGTAAATGCACATAGTTAAAATCTTGTCAGTGTCAGATTATAATCCAGACACACACACACACACACATCTAATAATGATCATAGAAATTATACCAAGTAATATGAATGAAACTGCTCATGTTAAGTAATGTGTATGTTCAGTTTTTTGAGTATATACTACTGAATGTTCCAGTGTTCTCATGCGTGTGGGTGTACGTTTGTTTTGTGTGTGGGTGTTCTGTCTCAGTTGGGGGACGTGATGGTGGATATCTCCAGTAATCTGATGCTGACTGATGAGCGAGTGTTGTGGATGGCGCAGAAGGAGGCACGAGCTTGCTCCCGTATTGTTGAAAGTCTGCAGAAGATCGCTCTACTCAGACTGGCTAGTGGATCTTACTACACTGTAAATACCATCCAAACCTTACAGTACACATCTCAGTTACTTCATTACTTTTCTGTTCAGCCTCTATAGAAGGCAAAATAAAGGTTTTTTTTTTATGTATTTTTTTATTTAATTTTTTTTTTTTTCAAATTGTTGGTATTATAGTTTTGGTTTGATAGGTTTTTTTTTTATGCGTTTATTTTATTTTATTTTGCTTCAACAGAACTCTCATAACATCGCAGTGGAGGCGCATGTGATCAAGGCCAGCAGCTTTAATGGCATGACCTGCACATTGTTCCAGAGGATGGCGCCAGAGCGCACTATGATTCCTCACCTGGGCTCTCTAAACCCTGACTTTAATATGGACCGCCAGCTCAGCTTCAAATGTAACGTCACCAGCAATCTCTCTGCCCTGGCCCTGAAGGTGTGTTACTTGTACTTTTTTTGTTTGTTTTTGTTTTGTAATGGATAATGTGATTCTTCTGGAAATATGTTTTCCCACTCTATATCTAGCTTACATGATCTGCAGAGCATTTCCCTAGTATTTCTGAGATTAAAGATTTGGTCAGTTCTTTTAGGATAACTGCTTTTTTGTCTGCATAATTAGATTGTTGTCATATTATCTTTTATGGTGTTTAACTTTTTTAACCATTTTAAATCAACAGCTCCCCTTTTCATTCTGCTCATTCAAGTTTTCATTATGCTACATTTTCAAGAAACGTTTGAACGGCACAGGCAGAGAATTTTGGGTGACATTTTTAATGGACACACTGCCTTTACTATTCCAGTAAAAAATGAAAATTCTATAAAAAGAATGTACGTTTGAAAATCTAAGATGATTGTGGTTAAGAAGCATATATTTCATTCCTGTGCAGTTGCATATGTAAATAAATTATTTGTGTTTTGATTTTAATGTCAGTGTTTAATAATTTCTTCTTTCCTTGTATACATGCAGAACACAATAGTAGAAGCATCAGTGCAGCTGCCTCCAGCTCTCTTTTCTTCGCTGCTTAGCTCTGGTCAGGCTGAAGATGTTGTCTACAAGCTCCAGCTGCTGGCTTTCCGCAACGGCAAACTCTTCCCCCCAACCGGCAACTCCACCATGCTGGCCGATGGCAGCAAGAGGAGAAGCGTTGTCACGCCTGTGATCCTCACCAAGATCGGTAAGACACAGCAGATCAGAACTGAATGTTGTGGAGTCTACTGTATGTGTTTCTGCTCTGTTTCATGGCTGACAGGGGCTGTACACTACCGTCCAAAAGTTTGGAATCACTGCACTGTTTTCGGTAATATAAAACCAATTTTTGTTACTCAGCATGACTGTGGTCATCACTCTGTGTCCAGAGTTATGACCACAACTGTAGAAAATTCCATAACAACTGAGAAAGCGGCATAACATTGTTAAAAAAAAGAACAAAAAAAACAAGTACCCTCTATAATGACTCATACTAGAAAAGTGGTGATTAAATAGTGAGGCAAAAACAATACCTCTGGTCAAATTGCATGCTTATTGATAAGTTAACATCCTCTGCAGAGAACAAACATAAAATGGCATTTACTGCAAATTTATTGCACATTTTTTTTTATCTATTTGCTTAATTTAACATAGTGGAAGAGTATTTAATGTACATTATACATCATTTTAAAATAAATAGCCACTTGCAGCACAACTGCAGATTTTATGTACTGTAAAACTGTTAGAAAAATCCCCTGACCAGCCTTTTTTATAAATGCACAAAAATGAGAAAAATCCCAGAATAACTATATATGTAATTCTTGTGTTTTAATGTTTAAAGTATCTTGATTGAAGTATTTTGCGGGCTAATAGTTAAGGACAGAGTAAGCAGCTGAATGTCACTTGTGCTTACATGAGAGACTGACGTCCGAGACTCTGCTCAGCCCAGCACATTGCTACTCTAATATTAGACACAGCTTCTAACACTACAATATAATTACAGTGCTGTGAAAAGTATTTGCCCTTCACCCGATTTTTCTTAGATTTTTGCTAATTTGTCACATTCAGCTGTTTCAGATCATCCAACAACACTACCCATAATTCAGTGTCAACCAGATGGGCTGTGAACATGTTTCAGATCTTATTACTGCTAAAGAGGACCAGGAAGAGAATTGAGTCCCCTATAACATTCACTTGCATTGTGAGCACAAAAAGGGTCATTTGAAGCTGGATCGCTTTCAGATTCACTTTAACAGAAATGACTTCGGTCCATTTAAAATGATATGTGAAACCACAGGTAATTTGATCCTTTCTTGCTTTGCAGCTCTTTATGATTAATTTATTGCAGGAAGTTGTATTGTGATAATGATAAAAATATAATTCATTCTGCTGCTCTGATAAATATATAATTACATTACTTTATCACTTAAACTTGTTTTTTTTCCCCAAAAAATAGAAAAAGAAATATAGAAATCAAATAAAGCATCTGAAAGTCTAAAAGTGGTGACTAGTTATGATGTTACAAGCTATATTTTTTTTCTAAAATAACTATAACTATAAATATAACCAGTGACTCCAAACTTTTGAATGGTACTGTATGCTGAAAGGAGTTCACAGCAGTACATTTCACACCTCATGAGTTCATGGTTATAATAGTTCCTTACATAGCTGAACAATAGGTAAATGTTTAGCTATAGTGCAGGCTGCTTAGTTTGGGTTTACTTGTAATCACATGAAGATTAGCTGATGTCTGTGTCTTTCTTGCTGTCAGAGGGTGTCCCACTAAAGCCCCTGCGAAGCCCAGTGAACGTGACTCTGCGGCGCTTCTTGCACGGTTCGGACCCTGTGGCCGCTCATTGGGATTTCAGGGCGCTGGACGGTCAGGGTGGCTGGCAGTCGGATGGCTGCAGGATTCTTCACCATGATGACAACTTCACTACGCTGTCCTGCAATTCGCTCAGTAACTACGCTGTGCTGATGGTGAGGAGGGATGATGTATGTTAGTCGACACAAAGATATTAGCTTTAACAGCCTGAGGATGACTCAGTTCAGGTCTTTACTGCAGCAGATTTCTTTGAATGTTTGACCCTTACAAAATGTAGATGGTGATCAGGGACCACAATATATGAAAAAAGTCCTTAAGTAATTTGCCTGGTGGTTCTTTTCTGGGTGGATCCTGGGAAAAAGCAATAACTGTTCTGTCCAAAGTTTTTGAAGCCCTGCTGAAAAGCAAAACACCAAATGGAAATGGCATGTTAGGTGTTTATCTAGGTGTTTGTTTCAACAGGATTTGAGTAGGACTGAATTCATCACATACAGCTTCAAGCCCCTCCATCCAGTCATCTATGCCACAGCTATTGTACTGGTGCTCTGTCTGCTGGCCATCATCATCAGCTATATCTACCACCACAAGTAAGAATCTAGCCCTCACTCCCATCCGTATACTAAAGTAAACACATAGAACAGCCCAAATCTCAGTCGTAGAGTACGTTTTTTGCTGAGTAGTTTTTCCAGTCCTAACTAATCAGTTCATCTTGTTACAGCTCATCAGCCATTATGGTTTTTTTAGCCTTATCTGATGTATTATTACTTGTTAGAGCTTGTGAAATTCAGAATTGTGCAAGGTACCGCAGGACAGAGATTGCAATATTGTCTTGCTAAGATTGTAGAATTGTACTTAGAAAACTTCTTGTCTGCTAGCGCACTATTTCAAGATGCCACCACTGGGCCAAAGCTGGTAATATCACCTAATAATTTGGACTGTATTTGCCTTAAAGGTGACACTAATCCATGCATTGTTGTGTATGCAGGTCTGTACGTATCAGCAAGAAGTGCTGGCACATGCTCGTTAACCTGTGTCTGCATATTCTTCTCACTTGTGCTGCATTTGCTGGGGGTATCAACCAGACTCGCTATGCCAGTGTGTGCCAAGCGGTATGAGCAACATCACTACAAATCTTTTCAATCACAATGTCATTTATAGCATTTTTGTAATACCTGCATAAAATACTTAGCTTTATATGTTGCATGGGGTATCTGAAAGGTTTTCTCAAATATTGGTAAACTTTTGATCTGTCTGCTTATGAAAAAGTCCTGTTGGAACTAGAGCTTGAATTGAGCCTGAATTTCGGTCCCAACCTGTATACAGCCCCAGAATTTCTGTCTGAATTTCTGACCCAAACCCAATGATAGTCATTAGAGCATGGAGAAATAAAATAGGAAAGGATTAATGTGCTGTAATAAAATTGCCAAAAGAGTGCTTTTGAACAGCATCTCAAACATTTTTGTCTGGCGAAACTTTTCATAAACTGTTATTGCGCTGTGAGTTGCTGACATAGTGAAATGTTAGCCTTTTTCTGTTTAATACTAAAGTCTTTACATTGAACATATTGAATATATCAGAAATATTTTTGGCCAAACAAATCAAGCATTCTTTTGGCCACACTTACTTTCCTGAATCGATTCACTGTTTGTCATGTTTTCTCATGAGTGAGGGGCTCGTGGACCTCAGTGCTGAGTGAATGATTCCAGCATGGCAGATTACAAAAAATAGTTAAAGTAGTGAAGAATAAAATAAAGAGAAAAGCTGAAGCAGGAGGACATCTGGGAAAAATCTGTTAAGTGTGAGGCAGGCTTTGAAAACACAAACATGACTTGCTCTAAATGAAGCAAATCAGCCAAGTGGAGGATTGTGATATGGCAAAAAATGTAATATGACAGTACTTAAAGAGTGTTTCTAACATAATATTATTTTTTTCTGATAAGATTTTTTCTGACAGACAGAGCAGTGTCACAATTTTATAAAGAAAATGCTGTCAAAAACTATGAATCCAATGATTTGTAATCAAAATTGTATTGTGCTGCACTAAATCCAATTAAACAGCACTAAGTATGCTCCATTTGTAATCAGACATGCAGTTGGGAAGAGTCTTTGAAGTACTGATGAAATCCAGAAAAGCATATTGTGACATTCATTATCGAGATAATGATATATATTGTCATGTTACCCAGCCCTACAGCCAGTAAAGTTTACTTGCTCTAGAGCTACAGGACTAATGTTGCTATCAAGTAGCTTAATATGCTTACACCCATCCATTAGTATCATGCCTAAAAAATCTAAAATCTGCCTTAAACAACACAATGTAGTTATGTGATTCTCAAATAGCCAAGCTTATGTAGCTTATGACACTGTACATCATAGTGATATCTATTATGCAAATTAAGAAACCACAAATCAAGTTTATTGAGATGACTGAACAAAACACTGTGTAATGTGTAATAATTTAGGCATGTACTTGGTAACTGATGGCTGTATGCCCTAATTACCTGTCAGCTACCTCAGCCTTATTGCTCCAGTGCAAAACTAAATAAGCAGACTTTGAAAACAATCTTGGCAGATTGACTGATTACATTTGGGGTAAAGGGGAATCTTTGTACATTAGATTTTTGGGCTCCACTTCTCACTGGTGTAGATATTGAAATATTTGGTATGTGATTTCTGTGTCTCAGGTGGGCATAGTCCTGCATTACTCCACATTAGCTACAGCCTTGTGGTCAGGAGTCACTGCAAGGAACATCTACAAGCAGGTTACACGCAAGACCAAACAATACGAGGAGCTAGATGAACCTCCTCCTCCACCAAGGCCCATGCTGAGGTAAAGAACTACATTTCATATGAAAAGGGAGGTTATAGGAAGTTATGACACTTGCTTATATCTCTGTAGTTATGCATTTGATGACACCAACTGTCTAAATATACTAAAATTCTCTGCAGTCTTTTACATATTTTTTGCTACATGTAGTAGAAGTCTGAATATTTGATGTTTATTAGCTTGAAAATATTCTGATTTCCTCTCCAGGTTCTACTTGATAGGTGGTGGGATACCCATAATTGTTTGTGGCATAACTGCAGCTGCTAACATAAAAAACTATGGCAGTCGGCCCAGCGCACCCTAGTAAGTGTGGTTTTTCATAGCGTTAAGTTGATTAACTACCCATTTTATATCAAATGAAAGTGAGTTATGGCTTCAGTCTAGATTTTTGTGTAGATATGTAAAAAATAGTAGACGTGTCATGAAGAGACAAAGGTGCTATTTTGCTAAAATACTTGAAAGTAACATTGCATATATGATCTTGTCTGAAAACAGCAAAAAAGGCAGAACACAACAGAAATAATAAAACAGTCTAGTGTGCTTGCATAGATTTGTCACATTGATTGCAAGTCTGCGTTTTCATATGGTGTGTCTGCAGAAACACAGCCTTACATTATTTTTTGTATAATGAGTGAATGTACATGACAAGATGTGACACTGACTAAATGTGTAATCTTTTTGCATTAGTGGCTGCTTCAACACACTGCTGCTTTCTCAAATCTCTCAGTTGACACCATTGTCACATTCATATCTTTCTACACCCACAAGCTGTTATTGATGGCATTTTCTGCCCACGCGCTGCGAAGTGAATAATGGATACTTTGCGGAGGCGAAAAGTTGAGGCGCTCTGAAGTTAGCGAGCCTAATTATGGCATTCTATTTTTAGCCCGAGCCTAGCCACCCTGTGTCTGCCAGTTTTCCTGCTGCTGTCTTCCTCACTAGTGGCAGCTGTTTGGGTTGGGTAACAGCAGAGCAATTTGGAAAATCCGCACCATCTGAGATTTCTGTAGTTTAATTAATCTTGCACTTCCAAAGACGAGTACATTTCAGTGTGTGCAAAGACGAGAATCGCAGAACAAACTTGCGCATAATGAGAAAGGAAAAATGCACTGTAAATGTTTCACCATATGGCTGATGGAACTTTGATGGCATTCAGCTCTATTTAAACCTGATCTGCATATTTTGTGCTCTTGAGTGGCTTAAATAGAAAGTAAAAATATAGTACGATTTGCTGTCATACATTAATTGGCTATGTACTTTCATTTTGTTAATTAAAGGCTAACAAAAGCATCTGCTGTTTCCTCAGCTGCTGGATGGCGTGGGAGCCCAGTCTCGGAGCATTTTACGGTCCGGCAGCCTTCATCGTCTTTGTGGACTGTATGTACTTCCTGAGCATTCTCCTTCAGCTGCGTCGCCACCCCGAGAGGCGCTTTGAGCTCAAAGAGCAGCCTGAGGAGCAGCAGCGGCTGTCTGTGGCTGAGATCGCTGAGGTCCCTGCCGCACACGTGGAGTCGTCGTCTGTGTCTGGTGTCCAGCCGGTGTCACTGTCAGCGCTAGAGAATGAGCATACGTTCGCAGCTCAGCTCCTTGGCGTGGCTGGAGCCTTGGCTCTCTACATAGTGTTGTGGGTATTTGGCGCCCTGGCTGTTTCTCAGGAGCATCCCATAGATCTGGTGTTTGCATGTCTGTTTGGGGTCGCCGCTTTGGCACTTGGGGCATTCCTCGTGGCCCGTCACTGTGTCAGTCGCCAAGACATGCGCCGCCACTGGGCACGGGCCTGCTGCCTCGGGCGACGGAACTACGCTGTCCAGGTTGATGCCCTCCTTGTGCCAATTCCAGGGCCTGCTGGGAGCGAGTCGGTCACTACGGGGAATGGGGAGGTTGGAAGGTGCCCCGCCAGTGGCACAGAGTCGTCTTGCACCAATAAAAGTGCACCAAGTCTGCGGAATTCTAACCAGGGCTGCAAGCTGACTAATCTGCAGGTGGAAGCAGCCCAGTGCAAGGCGATCCCTGCGCCGACCAATGGAGTCACTCTGCTGGACAACAGCTTAACAGAGCACTCGTTGGATAATGAGATCAAGATGCATGTCACACCTGTTGAGGTCCAGTATCGCCCCGTTGTCACCAACGGTCACCCTGGGATAGGGAACGCCAGTGTCAACGGGTACTCGGGACGGCACCACAAGAACCGAGCACGGGCGCACCGCGCTAGCCGACTGACTGTTTTGCGTGAGTACGCCTACGACGTGCCCACCAGTGTAGAGGGCAGCGTGCAGAGTGCCCCTCAAAGACGTCACCATCATGACAGCCTGCATGCCCGCAACAGCCGGCGAGCGGCCTACTTGGCGTACCGTGAACGCCAGCAGAGCCAGCTACAGCAGGACAGCAGCGACGCTAGTGCTAGCCTGCCTCGCCGCTCGCGCCATTTTGATAGAGGGGCCAATAAAGGTGGCATTAACCTTGGCAATGGCCGTGTGGGGAACAGCCTCAAAAACGGCCTTGGAGGCAGCCTGGGAAACGGCCTTAGCAGCAGTCAAAGCAATGGGGTTAGTAACGGATGTGTAGTAGGAGAGGGAGCTGAGACTGAAGTATCGAGTTCAGTTAAAGACTGCCCGAAGCAGCCGCTCCCTGTCGAACTGGAGGTGCAGCCCAAGTCTTATGGGCTGAACTTAGCCTCGGAAAATGGACCTGCTAAAACATCAGAGAGGCAACAGAATTTGCCGTATCTCAATATGGAGTGTTCGGGCTCTGTTAAGACTGGGTTGTGGAAACATGAAACTACCGTATAACAGATGTTGCCTCTTCATAGACTGCATATCAGTTTCTTTATAACTGTGAACCTCCTGTTTTTTTTTAATTATTATAGACAATATAGTTTCAAAGCAGGAAAAAAAGGATTTATAATTGAATTGTTTGTATTCAAAGTTGGAAGAAAATGTTAGTATACCACTTGCCAACTGTTAGACGATCTACAAAAGGTCTATTTTTGTACCATGTATTTCCTTTCCATATGTAAACATGATTTTGTATGTGAAACTACACATTCTGGCATCCTATGGGTATAGATAGGACTAGATCTTATGCTCTGATGTGTTTTGGCATAATTAAACGGATGGTTTCCAATTGCATTTGCAAAAATGTAAAAAGTCATCAGTGTTTTGCTTCCCAACCCACACCATATGAAACTAAGAGCCGAGTTCAGAGGTGAACTAAAGATTCTTCGGCAGAGGGCTTGATCCAGGCTCTGCGGTTGCTGTAATTGGGGTAAGATGCAACATGGTGTCTATTTCCTGAAGGCTCTGCACTCTAATTGAGGTGCAGGTCTTGCTCTCTATCTGCTTTTCTCCTCAGTGGAGGAGCCAATTCGGCAGACTGTGTCAGGAATATTCCGGGCCACTGCCTCCCGAGTCTGTGCCCACGCTATGATTGACGGCAGAATCTCAGGTCAGCCTGGCTGTTATTGGCAGCAATGAGAGAGGAGTATAATTATTGGAGTGAAACACCACCACCTCTCCAACTCCTCTTTCTCCAGCTTGCTGTCTGCGCAGTAACTCGCTGCAGGGCATCATTGTGTGGGTGAGTATGTGTGTATATTTAGAAAGGGAAGCGGAATTCTCTGTTACCCAGGTAGGAAAAGTGCAGGTATGTCCTTAAAATTATGAACTAGAACTAGTGCCTTGGGTGGTTCTAACAAAGTCCTGGAGTATTTTGCTCACACATCAGGCCTGATATGAAAGGCTTTGAACAGAGGGATGACAGCTAAAGCAACATTCTCACAATATGCAGTGGGTTTCCACGCAGGTTAAACTCGAGATGTAATCGTTATAGTAATAGTTGGGTTTTCTTGTAGGAACTGCCACCTTTAAAGCTTTTTACTGTATATTTCAGTCAATTTTTAATATACCTAAATACAATAGATGTACCTTGCCTGATAATGATCTGATACTTTTTTCTTACTGAAGCAGTTGATTAGGTGCAGAAATGCTGGTGATACTGACATTAATGCAGATGTGAAAAACAGTGGCAGTGTGGAATACTGCACCTAAATAAGTCTTCATAATAAGCTTCATAGCGCTGACGTGTTTGTTAATTGTAAATTATTAGTTAGGGACTTGTTCTGCTTACATTCAGAGTTTTGTTATTTTGTAGCCATAAATAAGTAAAATAGTAAAAAATACGATGAAGACCATATATTGTTATTGCATTTGCATTGATTGGCCATATTGATTCTAAGTCCATCTATGTTTTCATGTGGTGTGTCAGCAGAAACATGGTCTTGAATTATTTGTGCGCACATATGTGTACATACAAGGATATGACTTGAAAACATGCTGTGATTTCGTTAGCGCCAGCTTCAGGGAGCGCACTGCCTCTTTCGTATAATGTTCCATCGACAAAGCTGTCATATTCCTATCTCTGCACACCCACTAGAGATTTCAGCATCACTGTCCTAACTGCATGAGGACTGTACCTTTAGGTGGCTCCTTTAGACTACTGTGAGCGTCATTCGTGAGCCCGATTGTAGAGCAACAATAATAGGGATCTGATCTGTTGGATCAGTACGGGCAACGCTGCTGAGGTTACACATTTTCACACAAGCCATTCACTCCACAATCCACATATATGGAAACTAAACAGCAATGATGTGATGTTACAAAAACAAACACATTTACATATTAGCTTACAGCAGTTTAGCCCTGCCCATTCACACTGAAGTTATAAGGAGTGTTTTAGTCCCAATTGAATGAGGTATAATACAGGGCAGCCAATTGTAACAGAGCTCATTTACATAAAGCAATCTAAAAGATAACAGCAAGTTTTAATTCTATTGCACATAGAAGAATGATCCCAAGAAATTCCACACACTGTAGTTTGGATCAGTCCTCAGCATCAACTGATGCCTTTAGATCATGTATTGGAATCAATATTGGACAGTAAAAAGTGTGATCAGAGCATCCCTAAACACAAATCACAGTTTAATGCTACTGTTTTTGATTAAGCCACTGTTATTATGAACTGTTTTGAAAATCCATGGAAAACTTTGCTTTCATCCTGCCCTCAGAGGTTGGTGTCCCTGCTGATTTATATCCGAGCATGTGGAGTTTTTGGCAACTAAAGGATTGCAATTCTCTGTCCATTCTCAGCCAGGCCAGATGGGTCCAGATTCTGGGGTGATAAATTAAGCTTATGTACTAGTTACCAAATACGACACCATCGGTTGCAACACAGATGAAGTGGTCAATCGTAGGAAAGCTCTCTGGACAGTCTGCTATGTGTGTGTGCTGTGAAAAGCTGGTTTGAGTTATCACCTTAAAAACTTTCATCCAGTTGATTTGAATGATGGCCTGAGCTTTACTGTTTCAAGCTCTTGTGTGAAGGTCGAACAATTAATATAGAAACCATTAAAATGCAGGTTATCTGTTACTGTCATCTGCTGCCACAAGGCATGGAGGACTTTGCCAGCAAAAAAGAAACAAGATGTCCGGAGTTTTCACCCTGCTAATGATGTATTAAAAGTATATTTCACCCAGACAGAGATGCATTGCCTGGCCGTCTTAAGTGTGACAGTGAAATAAGGGTTTGAATTATGTATGGAAGGCTTGTGACTTGATTAGCGATGGATGTGATAATCATCCAATCAAGCTGTTATCTTCAGGCCAAGTCAGGACAAACTTAAAACATCTTTCAGTTTGCAGCATGTGCCCTTTAAAACTCTGAAGTTATTTATGACTTTAGATACATCTAAACAAAACTTGGCAAGAGAACGTAAAATTTATGTATGCCGCAGCTGTCTGAACTCCAAATGAATAACAAATTAGGGCAAGAAAAAGTTTTGTAAGAGTAAGTTGTCTTTCATGATTGAGGAGATATAAAAAGTTTACACACCCTTATTGAAATGGCAAGGTTTTGTGATGTAAAGCCAACTATCAAGATAAATCAGGTCTGACGTTTTTCCATCTTTACCAACAATAGAATTCAAGAGGACTACACAACTTTGTTTATTGCAGCAGTAACTATTTAAGTGAGTAACTTTACACCTGGATTTAGTAATCTTATCCCAGTCTTCTTTGTGAAAAAGTTCAATTTCCTTCACATTGCTAGGTGATCTGTGCACAGCCTGATACAGGTCATTTCACAGGGTTTCCTATTGGATTGAGGTTTGGGCTCTGACTGGGTCATTGTAAGATGCTGATCTTCTTTTTTGAAGCTTTTCCTTGGTGGACTTGGTTGAAGGTTTTGGATAATCATCATGCTGGAAGGGGAACCTCCATCTTCAGTTTTCCCCACGGAGGCCAGCAGGTTTTGTGCTAATGTCTTTAATATTCGGAGCTAGTCATATTCCATCTATCTCGACTAGAGCCCCTGTCCCAAAGGAAAACAAGCAACTCCACAACCATACTGACATGCTTCACAGTTATGGTGTTTTTTTATTGATGAGTTGTGGTGTTGTTGTGCCAAACATATCTTCTGGCCAAGAACACCCAATTTTTGTCTTATCAGATGGTTTTGGGTAATTTAAAATACTTTATGCTAACTTTAGATGGGCTCCAGCTTTTTTCATGTTGCTGTAGGCCTCATGGTTGCCTCTCTGATAAAGTTTTATCTTGTCCTGACCTCAACATTTTGAAGGTTTTTCTGACATTAGCAATGTTTCTGTTGTGCCACATTTTATTCCACCTTTTGATCAGTCTTCACATCTTTGCAGTGCTCTATGTACCTTTTTAACAGTAAGGTTCTATAGATGTATCAGCTTCTAATAGAACATAGCTATCCCAGAAGGATGCGATCAGGAAAACATCAGGGGTAAGAACTCCCACTGTGAAATAATTCATACCTCTCCACAAAGACTGCTGTGCAGAGTCAAAACAGACGGCATGACTGCAATTTTGCTGATATCAAGAATGTGTGTACAACTTCTCCATTTTGTCCCAGAAATAAAGAACAGAAGAGTATTTTGAAATACTGAACACAAAGAAAGAAAAAGTTATGACAAGTAAAATGAAGAAGATTCAAGGCTCAGGATTCTGCATCATGTCTAGGTCACTATTCAAATTTAAGCAAATCTGACCGTGTTCAGGCCTTTGTACAAAAAGGTTAATCTTATTCTTTTCACTTGAGCTCATGTTCAGATGACTCTCAGGTGGATTTGTTCTGCTCGTTAGAGGCTTTTGTCACTGTTAATGGGAGTTTGTGCCTGCTAAAGTGCACAGTGTCATTAAAGGGAGACAAACTTGAAGGAATCTGAAATTAAACGTTAAAATTTTGAAGATTCTACTGTTCACTGAGTTTGTTATGCTGATAATATCATTTGTAGTGAAAAATGTATTATAAAGAAATGCAAAATAGGAGTATTTTTACCAGTGGTCTCAGACTTTTGGACCCCACTGTATATTTCTTATATTACCTTTACTGGGGGAAAAAAATGTAATTCAATGGAGAGACCTCCAAAACAATGCAAAACAAAGGATTAAAGAACCTCCACATAATGGTAAAGGTGCTATACTAACTTTCCCTAGAATTCCCCAAACCTTTTCAGTAACCTTCATTTTTAAGAGTGTGCAGTGGCTTACAGTCTTACCAAACCACTGGTTTATCAAATGTCCTGCATATTTTCTGTACATCCCTAACATAAGCATGATATTTATGTTTTCTAAGTATATACAGCAATGCAATTGTGCTTATTAGCCTTGCAAACGATTCTGTTTTTCAACCTGTCGGTTAATGATTGCCTCAATTTCTCATGTGCTGAGCTCTGAGTGTTTGCTGAAAATGTAATGGGTAATGTCAAAGCAGCATTGATTGTATTACCTATTTCAGTGCTTGGCCAATGCAGCTGTAAAAGGCATCAGGAAGTGTTGAACAGACTGTACCTTGGAAATGAAGAGTGATATCTCCTTTAAGGTCAGGCCTCCTGTGCCTGTAGAATTAGCCTGGACAAACTGTGGAGAGGAACGCATTAGTTGCAGCTTGCTTTGTTGAATGGCTTTCTGAGTGATCCCTGCCCATTTATCTTTGCAGTGTTTTACATATGGGACCATAGTTTTTTTTTATTACAGATTTAGGAAATTAACTGTTGTGAGAAGGTTATTTTATGGTACAATGCAGGAATTCATTCATTGGAAACAAG